CCCGGGCTCTGCCCTTCCCTTTCTATTAACTCTGTGCTCTGTACCTGACATAGGGGTGGGGTGGAGTCTCTTAATGACAGGTGGGGGATGAGGGCAGACTGGGCTGCCCCTCTGAATCTGTCCCCTTGCCATCTCAACCTCTACCTGGCCTGGCTCAAGGGAGGTGGGGGTCCAGGCCTGACTTCTGCCCTTCCCAGCTGGGTCTGTCACTTGCTGTGCAGGCTACAGGGGGGTGGGGTCCTTGAGCCTAACAAAGGCCCCAGGGCAATGAGTCTGGGAGGGCTGGTCTGAACAGGGGAGGGTGGGGACTGGGTCTGGATGGCTGGGGGCCAATCTGGCTTGGGTCGGGGTGTCCGGTGGGGGTGAGATCTGGTTAATGTCGAGGCTGGGGTGAGGGGTTGGGCAGGGGGGGCGGGGTCCTGTGGGGGCACTGGGTGGGGGCACTGGGTGGCTCTTCGGTGGTAATGGCCTGAGCAGACTTCCTTCCACCATTAGAGGCCTCCAGCTGAGTGGAAAACCCAAGCCATCCAGGGAAGGGGCCCGATGGAAGTGGCCTAGGCCCACAGTTCCAAAGTGGAGCGAGACGCAGAAGCCCCTCCCCGGGGACCCAGAATGGGACCCTGCCCCACGCTGGAGGACTGCTGTGCTCCCGCGTGGGGCCTCTGTTGAGATTAGAAGCTGGTCCTGACTGGGAAGCAGCCTGGTTCCAGGAGCCTCTGTGCGTCCCTATCTCTGAGGCTCCTGTGGGGTGGCAGCATGGGGTCAGAAGTATCCCCTCAGCCAGTCCCAGCACCGCTGACCTCTGACCTCGTCCAGGTGCTTGTGGGAGGGGGGATGCTAATAAGAACCAGATGAGGGCATTTCAGAGAGTCAGGGCCGCCCCCACGAAGAGAGCCAGGGCCCCCCCACACCTGGAGCAGGCAGGCCGGCGGGGGGGCCCCCTTTAGTCTGGCCATTCGGGCTCAATCCTGCAGACGCCCGGGACAGCGTGCTGGGCAGTGAGCTGAGTGCCCCCTGTGGGTCCCCTCCTTGGGCCACATCTTCCCCTGGGTGTGAGCTTCCCTGTGACCATGGACAGGATTGGGCCGCCACGGACGGCTTGTAAAAGGCAGATGGGAAAGTGGCCTCCGCCTCCTTATCTGAGACATGTGCGAGCTGTGGCCTCCCAGTGGCCTGCAGGATTGGGTGGCTGTATAAATTCATCAAACCCGGTTCAGCCCGGCCTCATCCTGCTCCACCAAGACCTGCCCTTCAAATCCCCACCCCCCACCTCAGCTCCTCCTCTGGCCCCCTGCCCCAGTCACAGATTCTGCCCCTGCCTCCTGCCTTAGACCCTTCCCCTCCGGAGGCCCTGCCCCCCTTAACTCCGCCTTCACCTGAGACCTGATCTCTCCTCAGGCCTCACTTCTCTGACCCTGCTCCCATCTCAGGCTCTGTCCCCCCACTTTGGTTTTTATTCATTCTCTGACCCTGGAGGGCCTAGGGAAGTAGAAGCGGAGCTTGATAGGGGCTTTTGGGGGACATGGGATGGGTCCTAGGAATAAGCACTTGATGGTTTTCCAGCTGGTGAGCCTTGTCCAAGTTCCAAGGCCCCTTCTTCCTTCCCTCTGCCCAAGGTGCCACCCCCTCCAGGAAGCCTTCCCTGACACTAGGCTGCAAGGGACCTCCTCTGGCTTAGATTACACTTAGACTACACTTCTTACCTCTCTCTGGGCTCCAGCTTCACAGTAGAAACCCACGTGCCTCTCCCAATCCAGAAAGGCTTGGAGGAAGCCGGCCACCTCAGCTCAGGGGGCCAGGTCTGTCCCTGCATCCAACAATCTGGATATCAAGCCCTCCAGCACTTGTCCTTTTCACAAAATCTCCAGGGGTCTTAGCTGGATCTGGGGAGGTTCTTAGCTGGGTCTCAGAGCATTTTAGCTGGGTGTCGGGGGGGTCTTCGCTGGGTCTCAGGGAAATCTTAACTGGGTCTCAGGGGAATCTTAACTGGGTCTCAGGGGGAGTCTTAGCTGGGTCTCAAGGGGTCTTAGCTGGGTCTCAGGGGTGGGGGTGTCTTAATTGGTCTCAGGGGGCCTTAGCTGGTCTTGGAGGAGGCGTCCTTAGCTGGCCTGAGAGGTCTTAGCTGGTCTCTGGGGGTGTTAGCTGGTCTCTGGGGGTCTTCTGCAGAACTGTGATCGCTTTACTTCCTGCTGCTACAGGCTGACCTGGCCAGTATACCGTCAAGGTGTGACCACTGTGGCCGTGTTCACTGGCCCAGCCTCTCTCCTCCTTGTCTGAAGCAGGTCTTGCTAAGGCAGGGCGAGGGTCTTCGGCTCCATGCCCCTTGGCTAAATGTGCATCTGGAGACACTGTGCCTCTCCGGTCTGTTAGTTTTAAGCCTTTCAGAAGTTTCCTGGCTGCAGGGGCCCAGGACAAGTGGACTTAGCTGCCATGCTGGCTAGTTTCCGGGGAGCCCAGCAAACAGGCCTTTGTAGGTGCTTCCAACCCCTGGAGGGCAGAGCAGTGGGTGCTTTTAGCGCCCTGCAAGGCTCCTGTCAGCTGTGTCTCTGCTGGGCTTGGTGGACTCTGTCCTGGCTCATTGGTCAGTTATGGATCCCGTGGCAGAGCCGTGCCCCACACTGACCACACCTTTGTCTCTTGCCTCCAGGACCCTCACCTCTCAGCCCTGCTCCTGGAGAAGCTGCCGGGGCCCGGGCCCCTGCCGGCCTGCTGCCCCGAGGCTGAACGCCGCTGTGACGTCTGCACCACACAGCTGAACCAGCTGACCAAGGAGGCTCTACAGCTGCTCCGGACACCCTCCCGGCGAGAGGACTCTGATGACCCACGGGGGGCTCCTGCCCACATGACCAGCCTGAGGGATGCACAAGGGTCTACAGGCCCCACGAGGAAGCAGGGGGCCTGGGCTGGGCCAGACAGGAAGAAGGGGCCAGCATGGCCGCCTGGGCCCAGCGTCCAGGTGTCCGTGTCCCCTGCTGGCCCTGGGGGAGCGCTGAGCACTGTCACCATCCAGGCCCAGCAGTGCTTGGAGGGCATGTGGAGTGTCAACAGCTTCCTCCCGCCCACGTGCCTGGTGAGTGGCTGGAATCCTTGTCCACAATTCAGCAGGGACGGTGGGAAGGCTCACGGTCCTGGCTGCCCCAGGGACCTCATTTTCTAGTCTCACATGTGGACTTGAGTGGCCCTGGTTACAGAGACCACATACGGTGGCCGAGTGTGGCCTGCCTGTGGACTTCAGGGGCCTCTAGGCTCCTGGGGTAGACCCTTTCCTCTGGGTTGTCTGTAGGACTGGGAGGCGCCCCGAGGCCCAGTTGTGAGGAGGGCCTGGGCTGAGCCACCCTAGCGACTGATCCCAGAATAACCCCACCCACTAGGACTAGGGGACCCAGCAGGTAACCCGGCTGGTGTCTCACGCTGCAACCTCACCGAGGCCATGGGTCTCTGTGGGACTGACACCCGTGGATGCTCTGGGCATCACAGACAGCAGCCTCGGAGGCTCTGGCCAGACTCTGTCCGCCCATCTGCAGTGAGGTCGCCTCTGGTGCCTGGGGTCCAGGTCCTGCGCTCAGGCACTGGGCTTTGCTGTTGTATCTCCTCCAGCTCTTCTGTGGCTCTCGTTTTCCACCCAGGGGGTGGGGCCCTAGGAGTGCTGGCGCCTGGGCCCGATTTGCAGCCTGTGGGGTTAGCTGTGATGGGCTAACACGGGGGCCTACCTTGCAGACTCCCAGGGTGCATGGCCTGCCTGGTCCGGCTTGAGGCCTGCACAGGGCTGGAGATGCCATGCCCCAGGGCCTCACGAGATGTTGGGAGTAGTGCAATCTGATGAGGAAGGGCCTTTGCACGGGTTGGATAAGGGCTGGTCTGGAGGCAGGAGCCGATGGGGGTGGGGGAGTGATGGAGGGGGGAGGAAACGAGCTGGATGTGAGGACTCAGGTCTGGATGTCGTTTGACCCTTGAGACCCTCGAGCTCATCCTGAAGGGTTGCACAGGCACTTGGTGGCTTGACGACAAACCTCTTTCCCACCCTGCAGGGTCCCCAGGGTCAGATAGGCTAATTCTGCCTCCAGTAGTTGCAGAGTTGGGGTGCAGGTTCATGGGCCCCACCCTTCCAGTATGAGTGTCTCTGGGGCATGGAGTGTGGTGACCAGAGTGCCAGGTGGGGCTGTGGGAGTAGGAAGCCTGGTGAGGCCCCTGGGTGCTGATGGGGGAGTAGAGGACCTAATAATGCCCCTGAAGACGTCCCCATATGCTGACCAGAGATTAGGGGTCCTGGTGAGGCCCCTGGGGCTGATTGGGCTGTCAGACTGCCCCTTCTGTGCAGTTTTGGTGCAAATCCACTCACCTTGCCTCTGCCCTCGAGGTGGGAAGTCTTCCAGGAGTTGGTGGCACTGGGATGGGCTAACAGGAAGCATCAGATGGGAATATGGCTGGGACAGTGGAAGGCACCTTGAGGGTCCTAGGAGGAGACCCCAGAGCTGAGGGCTGCTTTCCATGGGGGAGCAAGGGCACATGGAGAGGGGACTGGCCTGTATCCTGTGGGTCAAGGGAGTAGGCATGTTTGAGGCGGCTTCCTCTCCCACCCCTGTGGGAGCAAAGGGACCTCTTCTGCATCCCTGCAGGCTGCCCACTGCATACGGTGTTTGACACCCCTTCCCTGATTCGTGTGCATATCGACGGTGTCTCTGTGGGAGGAAATGGATTTATAATTAGACAATAGTTCTGACAATCAATAACCAGATTATTAGACACATAACTAGGAGGCAAGCTCCAGACGAGGTGATTTCTTGTGATAGATATGGCCCTGGAGGGCTAGCCCTGAGGTTGCCCCTGGAGAAGTGCTGGGGACACGGTGGCCAGTTTCCAGGGTCCAGCAGGATGCTGATGAGGGGTTATGGCCCCTCTCCACTCCATGATGGATTCTGGAGAGGTGGGGAGTCAGTCTGGACAATGAATCTCAGCTGAGGCTCCAAGGGGCTGCTGGACCAGAAGATAGCTGGGTGCTAGCTGGTGGAATTGGGGGACAGCCTTTGGGAAGGGCCTAGACCTTTCTGGACACTATGCCTTCTAGCTGCCCTGTGGCTCCGGAAGGGCCTAGACCTTTCTGGACACTATGCCTTCTAGCTGCCCTGTGGCTCCAGAAGCCCTGTGGGTGGTTCTCTAGGGGGTATTGCTGTGGGTGTGGCTGTCCTAGTGCATCTGGTGGTCTGGATGGAGCAGCCTGTGTCCCACAGCTGGGGTTGTAATTAAAACTACAGCAATTCCTGTACCCAGGTGCCTGCCTAGAACAGCATTCCAGCCGTGGGGCAGCCAGCAGGACCACTTCACAATTCCTTCTAGACTTCATTTGCATAGAGCTGGGATATCTGCAGGGGCAGAGCTAGGGTGTCTGATGAATTGGAGCCTGGGCGTCTATGGGGCGGAACCGGGATGTCTGCAGGGGCGGAGCCGGGATGTCTGCAGGGGCGGAGCCGGGATGTCTGTGGGGGCGGAGCCGGGATGTCTGTGGGGGTGGAGTCAGGGCATCTGTGGGGGCGGGGTGCTGATATCTGTGGGGGTGGAGTCGGGGCATCTGTGGGGGCGGGGTGCTGATGTCTGTGGGGGTGGAGCTCGGATGTCTGTGGGTGTGAAGCCAGGACGTCTACAAGGGCGGAGCTTGGGCATCTGTGGGGGTGGAGCTGGGATATCTGGGGCGGGGCTCTGATGTCTGTGGGGGTGGAGCCAGGAAGTCTGTGGGATGGAGCTTGAATGTCTGGGGGGGTGGAGCTGGGACGGCCGTCAGGGCGGAGCTCTGATGTAAGTGGGGAGGAGCCGGGATCTCTGGGGGCGGAGCCAGGAGGTCTGCAGGGGTGGAGTTGAGACTTCTGTGGGGCTGAGCTCCTATGTCCTTGGGGGCAGAGCAGGGACATCCACCCGTATGAAGCCAGGAGCCTTTCGGATATGGGACTGGGTGGGATGCCTGTCCCAGGACATAACAGTCTTCCAGAGCAGGATTCCTGGAGGGTCCCGAGCCTTGGATGGACAGAGGCTCATAGAGAGCTGGACACTTTGACAGTGACCATAAAGCCACATGTTTCCACATTTTCAGACATGGAGTACCAAAGGCCCGTAGGCTTGTTAGATAGCACTTCTGGAGCCTGCAGTGGTGCCAGGGGCACTTGAAGGACAGTGGGCAGTGAGAGAGGGCTACAGAGGCCGTTCAGTCTGGGTACAGGGGCTACACGTCACCCAGGGTTTTTCCAGTGAGCTGAGGATGGGACTCACTGCCTTGGGCTCAGCCATCTCTAAGGCCTCCAGCTAAAGCTGACCATGAAAGGGGTCCAGACAGGGGACCCCAGGGGCGGAGGGCTCTGGCCAGACCAGTTGGCATTGAGGGCTTCTTGGTGGAGATTCCGTGGCGCACGCTTGCCAGGCTGTGGAGATGACTCTGTCCTTGGCGGCCGAGTGGCACAGCTTGGGAGCTCAGACCCTGCCCCTTCTCACATGCTGTGCCTCCTGGCCTGTCCCTTCCGGAGTCCTGGCTGATACCTACTCCCTAGGCCTCTCTGGCCATCTGTGGAGTGGAGGTTGGGCAGTGCCCTCCTCCACAGGAGGCCCTGTAGGGGGTGGGAAATCTCTCCCAGGCTGTGCTCACCCTGAAATTCTCTGGAATCAGAGTTAGGGGGATGATGTCTGAAGACCCTTGTGCCTGGTCCATGTGGTCTGATCCATACACTCTTCTTGTCTGCTCAGCACCCCACTCTCCCTAGCACCCTACCTCTCTATGTTCTGCTGCACCCCTCATTTAAAACCCAGAGGTGTACAGAGGTAGAATCCAGGACTGTGTATGCCAGGGAAGGTTTACTCTTTCCCAAACTGTGTTCCACGGAACCCCTAGGCCCGCAGAGGTCACTGGGGTCTCTTGAAGATGATGTCAGGGGTTACCCCAGCGTGCTCCTGGTGGGCACTTTGTAGGCGGGGGTGCAATGGACCGTTTGTGCAGGCGGGGTGTTTACATGCGGGTGGAGCCGGCAGGCGTGCCTCTTTTTCCATCTCAGTTCCCTCTTGTTTTTTGCGCTGTAGAGTAGGGGTGTGTTCGGTGATAATGATGAACACTGCGGGCAGGGCAGACCGGGGACACGTGGTGCGAGAGGGATGGCGTGGGCAGGGGTTCCTGGTGCAGGTGAGATGGCAGTGTGGAAAGGGGCACGGGAATGGGTGGGATGGTGCAAGGTGCCGGCCGGGCGCATGGTGCGGCTGCTTGGGACGATGGTGCGGGCAGGGGCACCTGGGACGATGGTGCGGGTGGGGCTCGTGGAACGGCTGCCTATGATGGCGTTGCAGGCAGGGGCACCTGGGACGGTGGTGCGGGCTGGGCTCGGGGCACGGGTGCCTGGGTCGGTGGTGCGGGCAGGGCGCGTGGTGTAGCTGCCTGGGATGGTGTTGTGGGCACAGGTGCAGGACGGGCGCTTGGCGCAGCTGGCTGGGATGGCGGTGTGGGCAGGGTGCGTGGTGCAGCAGGTTGGATGGCAGTGCGGGCTGGGCACGGGATGCTGCTGCCTGGGTCCACATAGCGGGCCGGGTGCGTGGTGCAGCTGGCTGGGATGGCGTTGCAGGCAGGGGCACCTGGGACGGTGGTGCAGCTGGCTGGGATGGCGGTGTGGGCTGGGCACGGGGTGCTCCTGCCTGGGACGGAGGTGTGGGCATGGCGCGTGGTGAAGCTGGCTAGATGGCAGTGCAGGCGGGACGCGTGGCGTGGCTGCCTGGGATGGTGGTGCAGGCGGGGCGCGGGCTGGGCTCGGGGCGCAGCTGCCTGGGTCGGTGGTGCAGGCGGGGCGCGTGGTGCCAGTGGAACAGGCCGGCTGGCCTCACCCTCCTCTCTCCACGCTTTTCCTTTCGTTGCTGCTTGTGAGCCTCCATCTCGTTTTCTGTTTGGCCGCCCCCCCCAACCCCGTGATCCTTTCTTTCCTCTCCCTGTGTTGTGGTCTCCCCGTCCTGTCCCCAACTTTCCGCTTCGCCAAACGGCTTCTTTTGGCATGCCTGGGTTCTGCTTCTGGCAGGGATCGGCCAGGCCGTTCCGACCGACGGAGCCGCGTCCCGGCAGCGCTTGGGGACAGCGGCGGAGCCAGGCGTGCGAGAGACCTCCTGCGACAGGTCAGTGTGGCGCTGGGCCGGCGCGTGGAGGCCGGGCGGTGCCGGAGGTGGAGAGGCCAGCTGGCCGTGCCCCGAATTTGGGAAGGGCTGTATCCCACTGTTTCCCATCCAGCCTTGGCCTTCACTTGCATTGGCAGGACCCCGGGAATAGCCCCCGGAAGGGCTGGCAGGAGCCCATTTGGGGTAGTGTGTGGCTACAAGCCTGTGGCATCCACAAGTGCCCCTTCCAGCCTGGCACGTCTCCAAGCCTGGGCCCCTTGTGAATGCCAGGGCTCATCTCTGATGAGGAGGCATGTGGGAGTGATGGAGGTTTCCAGGCCTCCCAGGACGGGCTGATGGTCATCGGTGCACGAAGACCTGGGGGCTGAGCCACACATCCTCACACTTCCTGGCCCTCACCATCTGGGTTTGGCCCGACTGACCCTCCTGAGTATCCCTGAAGGCTGGTGCCCCCTCTGTCATCCCGCCATCAGCTCTCCTCCTGGCCCTGGCTGGGCTGTCCTGTAGGCTGGACTAGGGGGAGGATGGTGGGTGCCCTTGGGGGTTCTTGGGTCCCTGGGTCTTGTGTTGCTTGTGGAGGTGAGATGAAAGGGGCAGTGCTGTGAATGGACGTCCTGATCTGTGGAGAGGTCTGAAGGCTGGGGAGGCCAGGTGGAGCTGGGGATGAGGCCAGGAGGTGTTTGGGAAAGGGGACTGGTGTTCCTGGGTTCTGAGGGCTGAGTTGGAGTTCCCCCTGAGGGATGCAGCCCTGTTTTCTGTGTGTGGGGTGTGGGATGTGATGCTTGGTTTGGGGTGTGTGATTGCAGTCAGCAGAGGTGGGTGAACCCCTGGCTATTAGCTCTGCTTTCTCTGACTTCTAGCAGCTGAGGGTGGGGTGTCGGGGGGAGGGGCTGTGGGTATGCCCCCTCCACCTGGCCTGTGAGGGCTGTCTTGGTGCTGTTCTCACAGAAGGTTTCTGCTGAGTCAAGAGTGGGGGAGCCCTGTGCTGACTGTGGGGAGCCTGGGGCTTTGGGGATGGACCCTGCCAGGGAGAGCGGAGACACTGGACCCCAGTAGCTTGTTTTACTGATGAAGCACTCAGGTTCTCTCACTCTGTCACTCAGGGAACTGCTGGTTGGTGTTGGGGTACCCCAGTGACTGGCCAGGCTCCAGGAGTTTTGGTGGCTGGGTAACACTGGGGTGGCCCCATTGACACCACTTCTGACCTCTGCCTCCTCCCCTCTCGCCTCAGAGTGTTTGTTGGGGTGGGGACCTGGGCTCCAAGCTGCCCCAGCCCCGTGTGACACAGGCTCCGAGTTGCTGGCGCCTGCCCGGGGCCTCTAATTCCATTTGTGCTTTATTATGAAGCTGTCTCCATTTCTGGAACTTATTTTAGCTGATAGCTGGAAATGCCAGAGTGGTCTCTCTGATCGTAGAAATCACAGATTACCACATGTGGCACAGTTAGGGGCTGGCAAATCTTTGCTACCACTTTCTTGCTGACCCCTGACCAGCACTGCTGACCCTGCTGAGCCAGGTGCCCCTCCTGAGCACCTACTTGTCCAGGGATCTTCTTGCACCCTTGCACCCCTTCCCTGAGCCGTGCCCCCTCCCCTGGAGCTGGCTGTGATTTTCAGGCCAGCAGCCAGCTGTGGGTGGGCTTGGGTGTGGAGACCAGGCCACCCCTCCCTGCCAGTCCACCATCTCCACCCACAGTTTGGGGGCTCTGGGAGCTGGGACAGCTGTGGCCTTGTGGCACCAGGACCCCAGTCCCTCTTCACTCTGTCCTGTCTTCCCTGTAGGCGGAGGCGGCAGTGGCTGCAGTGGCCGTAGCGGAGACGGTCAGGGATGCCCCCCCTGCAGCAGGCCCGGATAGCGTGTCCCAGGTGTGGGGCCTCGGGGAAGCGTGCACCACGGCTCTGGTCACCCCGGCCCCCACGGTGGCGGGCTCCTCCGGGCCATCTGCTGCAGCCTCCTTCTTCATCAGGTATGTCATGTGCTCCAGGCTTTGGGGTAGCACGGGGCAGCGGTGTGACCAGGGTACCTCCCTTCTTGGCCTTGGTGGCCAGTGCCTGGTGGTCTGGGCCTGTCCTTGGATGGAGCTCTGGGGCAGCAATAGGCTGCTGAGGCCCCTGAGCCTCCAGCGAGGAAGAGCAAAGTCTCTCTCAAGCTTGTCCTTGGTGTGGGGCACCTCTTGTCACGGTGGGACCCCCTTACGAGGGACGTCCCGGTTTGAACCCGGTCTGCCATCTGATCTATGTCACTTCAGGTGAGTCTCTTCATTTCTCTGTGTCTCAGTTTTTCCATCTGTGGGATGAGACCTCAACCCTTAGACAGGCTGGATGATGGACACGAGACTGACCACATAGAACAAGCCTGACCCAGAGCAGCAAGGCAGTTCCTGGGGCAGGGGAGGGGCACAGAGAGGAGCACAGAGGGAGGGGGACTGTGGGGGAGGGGGAATGGAGCACTTTCTGGAGGACTCAGCATATGTTGAGGGCTGGAGAACCAGATGTGCATAGGGTCCCTGGCTGTGGCCTGTGGTTCCTACCCCAGGTCTGGGACTCTGGGTAGTGGGGGACGGGCCAGCAGGGCCAGCAAACAACTTGAGTGGAGGCTCTCAGACCAGCCTCCTCTCCTGTGCAGCCTGGGGGCTGGGGGATTAAAGGATGTAATAGCAGCTAATGAGTGGTAATGGTGTCTGCTCCATCACAGCCCCTCAGCAGCCCTTCCTGCACTGATAAGCAGTCGGCCATCAGCTTGTCCAAGGGTAAAGGGCCTGGCAAGCAGTGGCGCCTTACCAGCCTCGCTGATGGGGGGTGACTGAGCTGATGGGGGGTGACCGTGGGCTGATGGGGGGTGACCGTGGACTGATGGGGGGTGACCGTGGGCGGATCGGGGGTGACCATAGGCTGATGGGGGGGTGACTGAGCTGATGGGGGGTGACTGTGGGCTGGTGGGGGGTGATCATGGCCTGTTGGGGTGATCAACACACATCGGCATTGTGCTGTGACTAGTGAGCGTCTGCGGGGCCAGTTAAATGCTAATAACGCTGCAACTGCCTAAGGCTCAGTTAGGTCTGGACACCTACTCATGCAGATTGTGGGGACCAGGGAGTGGTACTGGGACCTGGGGGCAGGGCTGAAGCCCTGAGCCCAGGATGGGTGTGGGGCTTCCACAACAGAGGCAGGACTGACTGGTGCCTGGTAGGCGCTGGGACAAGGAGTCAGGGCTGGATCCTAGGGGCATGGGCATGGGTGTGAGAGTCTGGGGGTGGTGGATGTGAGAGTGGGGGGGTGAGGGGACAGGGGGGTGAACAGGGGAGTGGGCACCCTCCAAAGGGCTAGGACCCAGAGGCAGGACTGCGTCCAGGAATGGAAAAGGGTCTAGGGGCGGAGCTGAGCCGGGGTGGGGGTGTGGGGGTGAGGGTGTAGGGTCCTGGGGGTGGGGCAGAGCCCAGGGGCAGACAGGGCTAAGCTGGACCCAGGGGGCAGGATGAGGCCCAGGGGCACGATGGGCCCCTGTCAGTCCCCTGTCATCTGAGGGTAGAAGGTGCAGTGGAGACCTTGACCTTGCGTAGCCCTGGCTTTTTGTTAAAGTGGGGGCAGCTTCAAGGCGCTTCAGGAGTGCCTGGTGAGGTTAACCTGCTGGGAGGAGGGAACACTCAGGGTCTCTGTGTTCCCCCACCAGAGGACAGTGGCCTGGCCTGCCCGCTTTTGTTTTCAGCTCCTCAGGCCTTGGGAAGTTTCCATAGAAACCAGCCTCCGAAAGCAGACCTGGCTGGGGGCAGCTCCCTGAAATGTGCTGCAGGCGTGAGGCTGGGGTTCATGTGTACTCTCAAACCAGCACGAGGCTGAGGGTATCTGTGTGTACCCCAAAATAAGCATGATACTGGGGTTCATGTGTACTCTCAAACCAGCACGAGGCTGGGGGTATCTCTGTGCACCCCAAAATAAGCATGATACTGGGGTTCATGTGTACTCCAAAACCAGCATGCGGCTGGGGGTACCTGTATGTACCCCAAAACTAGCATGAGTCTGGGGGTATTCGTGTGTTCCCAAAAATCCACGAGACTGGGGGTATCTATGTGCACCCCAAAATAAGCATGAGGCTGGGACCATGTGTACCCCAAAACTAGCGTGAGTCTGGGGGTATTTGTGTGTTCCCAAAAATCCACATGAGGCTGGGGTATCTATGTGTACCCTAAAATAAGCAAGAGGCTGGGGTCCATGTGTACCCAAAACTAGCACAAGGCTGGGGGTATTCATGTGTTCCCCCAAATCCACATGAGGCTGGGGGATATCCATGTGTGCCCCAGCCAGCCCCCAACAGGCCCAGGGAGCATGTGGGTTCCGATTGGTGGCCCTTTAGAGGAAGGAGTCCGTTACTGTCTTCATCCCTCCTCAGAGAGCTGTCCACTTGGAGGACAGCAGCTTGGGCCCACTGTGGGCATGCACAATTCTTGGCACCCTCTTCCTGGGGTAACTGGGAGGGCCAGAGCCAGCTCTGCCCATACCCTTGAAGTTACCAGGTCGTATGAGAGCGGCATGTGATTAGTCCATGACTCCGCTGGGCCCAGCAGACAGCTGCCCTGAGCCGTGGCCATGAGAAATGGAGGGTCGAGTGGGTGGGTGGGGCCTCTGGCAGACCGTCCCCCTCCGTGGAAGGTGCATGGTCTTCCCCGATTCCTTGGGCCTCGAGTGTCTGCTCTGAACAGCTGTGGGTGGGTGTGGGTGTGGGCCATGGGCACGTCCAGCTTCACAGGAGAGTAGGGTGCTGACCATCAAAAGGGAAAGTGCTGTCTGGATTTATTGGGGTGACATGACTCTGAGTCACTGAGAGGGTGTCCACAAAGCAGTGAGTAGACAGTGAAGGGCGGTGCTGAGTTAGTTCAGACCACAATGAAGTCTGAGCCAGTCTGTGGAAACCTTGAAGCTTCCGTCCAGGGTCTAAGCCTGTAGGGCGCTCTGTGGAGAAGATCTGCCCTCCCCCACTGAGGTCTGTGGGGACCCTGCTGGGTCTTGAGGCCACGGCTGTCTTCGTGCCTGGCTGTCCAGTCTTGTCTCCGAAGCCCCAGGGGCAGTTGGCACCTCTCATCCTCCTCCAGGCCAAGAAGCAGGGCTGAGGGAGCCATGCCCACCAACATGACTGACCCCTCTTTCCAGGTGTGGGTGGCCGGAGGGCGGCCTGATGGACCACTGCATTCTCACAGGCATCTCTTTTCTGTGGTGGTCGTGGTGCTACCAGGGGGTCCAGATAGAACAGGCCCTTGTGCTAATCTAGAGGCTTTTGGCCACCCACCCAACAGGTTAGGGAAGAGACTGGACCTCACACTTACTATCAGGACCCCACAGGGTGGTCCTGTTCTGCCCCCAGGCAACCAGGGAAGGTCAAGGAGGACGGAACAGCTGAGGGCGCAGCATGGTCCAGTCCTGACTGGACACATCCTCACCTGCCTTGGGCCCTCCAACACCCCCATGTTCTGCCTTCCTCATCACCCATTGTGCTCTGGCCTCAGTACCCCAATACTCTGCCCCCAGTAATTCCACGTATTGCCCTCAGCACCCCCATGCTCTGCCCCCGGCACCCCATCTCTGTCCCCAGCACCCCCGTCTTTACCCCAGTACTTCCCCAGTCTCTCCCCTTCAGTGCCTCAGTGGGCGCACGATGGCTGTGCCTCTGTCCTGTGCACACCTGTGGCTGCCCTACCTGTGGTGCGCCTGTAGGTTGGGGGGTCCTCCCTGGGCATGCATTGAGAGGGTACTCTTGGCACCAGTGGGATCTCAGGACCTGGTGTGAACATTGACATGGTCAGTGCCCATGCTGAGGCCCCTGCCACGCAGCCATCCTCCTGTACTAGCACTGGGCTCTGTGGGGGTGCACCACTCCGTGGTGGCTGCCTTGTACCTCATAGATTACTTTTATTTTCCAAGATGACACCTTACTAGGAGGAAAGCCTTCCCCGGGGACTCTTAAAAGACAACTCCTATTAAAGATGAGAGGAGTTTAGCAAACGCTGTGAGAGCTCCCGGAGGATCCCTGGGTTGGGGGGCCAGGTCCGCGGAGCCCACCTGAGGGTCTGATCCCTTTGAGAAGATGACTTAGGCATCAGGAGCCTTGGGAAGAGGAGAGCTGGGTTGGAAGCAGGGTGCAGGGTCAAAGCAGCACCCCCATTCGCTCTGCCTCTTAGGCAGACCCAGGGAGCTGTTTACACCCTCCCCGCGTGGAGTCACCTGTGCAGGCAGGTGTCAGGGCTCCTGAGACCCACTGTTTGCGATGAGGGGCAGGAGTGTACACGCCACAGTTGGATTTGGGGCCCTGGGAACCTCTTGGGAGGCTGTGGAGCCCTGCACGAGGGACTGCTGACACCCGAAAGTGTCCAGGGACTGATGGGGGCAGGGAGGTTAGCTTGGTGGCCTTATGGGGGGATGCAGAGAGGCCTGGGTGGTGGGCGGCGTTTGTGGGAGAGCAGGCGTGATTGTGTGTGTGTGTACAGCACACGCATGCACACATGCACAAACAAGAGCATGTGTACACCCTCCCGTGTGTGTAATGCAGGTGGATACACAGTGGGCGTTGCTGCTGTGCATGTCTCCCTATGTGGTTATGCATGTGTTCACATGTATGCATGCTTTCGTGTGCTGACTCTGTGCCTGTGTGCACGTGTGTGCTCCTTTCACATGTGTACTGTGTGCATGTGTGTGCGTGCACACATGTTTTTGCAGCACACCTGGGAGGCTGGGTGAGGCAGTGGGACGGCACACCAGCTCAGGGGGTTATGAGGCCCGCAGAGTGGGGCCCATGTTTATGGAGCGTACACTGGGCGTTGGCCTGGGCCCTGAGATACTCCCGAACCAGGACCACACGGGGCCCCAGGTGGACCCAAGGCAAGCCAGGGACCATGGACAGTGAGCACATGGCCTGGGATTGGCCGCCGAGGGCCTGACTGACTGGGACCAGAGACTCGGGAGCTGAAGGAAGCTTTGCAGGCAGACTCTGAGCAGGGTCCCTTTTCACATGTCGCCGAGGTGGCCTGACGTGGCCTGAGGAGTGGACGTGACTGGGCAGCAAGGGCTCCAGTGGCACCAGTGGCCGTGATGCCCGCCTTGAGCCCTCTTTCCCTCCCAGGGCTGCCCAGAAGCTCAGCTTGGCCTCCAAGCGCCGGAAGCCCCCACCCCCGCGGGCCCCAGCCTCCCGCGCTGCCTCTGCCTACCCCACTGACTTCAGCGGTGTCCTGCAGCTGTGGCCGCCCCCAGCACCACCCTGCCTGCTCAGGGCCGCCAAGGCCAAGGATACCCTCAGCAGCTTCGGAAAGGTAGACCCCACCCCAAGGAGGGGGTGGCCCTGGGGCTGGGAGGGTGCAGCTGCCGGTGGGGTGCTACCCTCTCCAGATTAGACCTGGGTGACCGTGGGGAAACTAAGGCTGGGATGCAGAGAACAGCGGGGTGGGGAGAGGCATGGTTGGCCCGGCAATCAAAGGGAGGGTCTGGTAAAGGGAACCCCTTGCTTTGCTCAGATGTGTCACCTCAGTTCAGGTGGGAATGCTGAGCCCAGACTGGCCCCCTCCCAGTCACCCCTGGGGCCAGGGACCTCAGTTCTGAGGTGCAGTCACCTGGGTGGAGGGGGTACCTTTGAACAGCTCAGGCCATGTCTCTGCTCTCAGGTATTACATCACCAGGTCTCATGTCATGTGTGCCTTGCACCCCGAGAGCCTTACTGCACTGAGGCTCTTACTGGGTGTCTGGGGGCCCCTCCAGAGCCCCTGTCCCCCAGGCCCTTGCTCAGTCAGACCGTCTGTGACCTTGCGGGCCCAGCTTTGGTCTTAGGTGGGGGTGACTGATGTAGGGCCTGTCTGGGTGCTGAGGACTCCATTTGAGGACAGGGTTTGGGAGTGGGGCTCAGGTGACCTCTGGGTCTGCAGGGAGGAGTGTGGGCAGCCCCTTCTGGCTCTCATGGCCGGCAGTCGGGGTCTGTGCTGGTCCTGGTGGGCCTGCTTGCCAGGGCTGGATTGAGTGTTGAGCCGCCTGGCCAGCGAGTCCTCTTGAGTGGACACAGGACAGGTGTGACGGTAACAGGGGGTATGGCATGGCATGGCTGAGATGATGATGTGACACAGGACGGAACAAGGCTCGATCGATCGCTCTTCCCAGAGTCCCTGGCACCTTGCCCCGCCCCTTGCCCCGTCGGGGAGGGGAGGAGAGATGTGTGTCCTGGGCATGGAGGAAGAAATGGGCAGGACCCTGGCCAGCCTGAGCTGAGCCCCAAGCCTGCCCAGCGTGGCTGGCTGCGTGGCTGGCTCCCCGGCTGGCCCGGCACTGCTGAAGGCAGAGTCCCACTGAGACGTGTGAGGTGGGGCGGGCAGCTTGACCACAGGCCCAGGTGTCCAGTTTTGTGGGCCTTCTGGCAGTGACCACATGTGCTCCTTGGCCCCGTGCCCACGCGTCTCACTCACTGCCAGCCTCCTGTTTTGTGTTATTTCTGTGGGGCATGACCTTTGGCTCCTATGGTCTTCCTGTGGGGGCCTGCCCCACCCCATATACTTGGGGGTGCTTCTCCTGACTCCGCCCCTGTGTTGACCACACAGCCTCCAGGAGTCCCCACCGCGCCCACCACAAGCCCTGTGATTAGCAGTCAGCACGGGTGGAGAGGGTGTTAATGCTGCCACAGAAAAGAAGTCAGATTACCCTGCATCTCTGACACTAATGTGCTCTTTAAGATAATTCATCATATTGTGGTGTGAAAAAGACATCCCTGGCTGGCTGGGAAGGGGGGCATTGTGCCCTCCCCCTGCCCACCACAGGGTGGGAGCTTTCTTGGAAGCCCAAGTCCTTTTTTTATGCAAAATGTGTCTTTTCCTTCCCAGCTTTTATTCAGCGGGGCTTTGTGATATGGGAACATTCGGGGGAGGGATTTGATGGGTTGTGGTTCCCCAAGAAATGACAGGAGGCTCTGCTCACACAATGGTCTCGTGGCCAGGGCCCAGTTGTGGGTCGCCTCGCTCTGCTCCTGGCCGCAGCACTGAGGGGAGGGAACTGGAGGTCTCAGGCCCCCTTCCCACTGGAAGACTCTCAAACCTCAGAGCTCTTTTGGCTCCTGAAGTGGCTGCAAAAAAATTGCCTCAAATTACGGGGAAGCGCACATTTTTGTGCAATAGTTTGGGGGGAGCTGATTCCTCCTAATGGAGCCAGCTCTGCAGGCACAAAGGAGAGTGCTCTGCGCCCTGGGGGAGCAGAGTGGGGAGGGGACTGGGGAGCAGGGAGGGGAGTGGAGAGGGGAGCGGGGAGAAGGGAGTGGGGAACGTGGGGAACGATGGGGGGGAGGTAGGGAGCAGGGAGGGGAGAGGGAGTGGGAAGAGGAGCAAGGAGGGGGGGAGCCCGCAGGGGAGTAGGACGGGGAGAGGGGAGGGGAGCGGGGAGGGGAGTGAAATGGGGAGAGGGGAGGGGAGCAGACCAGCCCACCGCCTATCAGTTTGTAGCACTTAGAAGGGTATCACAGGCGCCCCTGCAAACTGCCCGCAGGCTGCCATGGTGAACCAATTTTGCCGGTGTTATGTGTCTGTCACTTACAATTAAATCCATGAAAAATACTGGCTCTGAAATGAGTCCTGGTAATTCGATTCACTCTGCATGGAGGGTCCCCGGGGGACTGGACAGCAGTGCTCCCCAGCAGGAACGGCACCCTGGCCGTGACCACGTCACCGGTGGGAGTGCCTACAGAGCTTGTCTTAAGCCCAGTGCCCTTCTACAGTGGACACATGGTGGGGCAGTGCCCTGGGGGTCGAGAGCCCATCAGCATGGCACTACCACCGTAGTCTCGCCCTGCCCTGGCACCAGGTCCTCTGTTATGGCCCCATGCCATCATCTGGCCGTCCAGGTGCACATCCAGCACCAGCGCAGGGAGCTTAGTTCCTGAGGATGGCGGGGAGCCCCTCAGGCCCTAGCCCGCACACCTCTGCTTTCCAGTACCCCCACCCCAGGCTCTGGGCCGAACAGGCAGGTCCATTTTATACCCTTCCTCTCTTGCTGCCCCTCAGAATGAAGCCCTTGGCACGTGGGGAGGGAGCAGACAGCGGCAGGCGTGGTCCTGCCGCCCGCATGGCTGTCCTCCAGGACTCTGTGGGCCAGTCCTGCACTGCCCATCCAACTGTGCTTGAGAATGGCCAATGCGTGAACTTGGGAACGTGAGCACGTGGGGAAAGTGTGCTTGACCGGAGAGTGGGGGAGAGTGGGGAAGTGGCCTCGGCCGCTCCCTGGGATGGATGGGGCTAGGAGGTGGGGCTGGAGCACCAAGTCTGCATGCCCCACTGGGAGTTAGGCACTGCAGACTGGGGTCAGGTTGACCAGTGTGTCACCTCTGCTTTGGGTCAGTTTGCAGCCAGCAAGCTGAGGGGCCACCAAAGGAGGGTTGTTAGTCAGACAAGTGCTGGTTCTTGAGGGTGTCCATGGCCATAGGCTCCGGGCTGCCCACAGGTGCCTGGATGTGCACCCTGGGCTTTGCTGACCTCATCAGGCCTGCCTGCCCTCCAGTGCTGCAGCCTGTGCTGGGACCTGGCCTTCTGCCATGCATGGACTGTCTGTCCTGAGTGCCAGGCCCTGCCCTGGGTGCTGGGCCTTGTCCAGGATGCTGAGCCCTGACCTATGGGCATGAATGGATTCTCTGCTTAGGGTACTGGGCTCTGGCCAGGGTGCCGGGCGCTGCCCTGGGTGCTGGGCCCTGCCTGACCTGTCAGGACACAACTCCTTGCCCTATAATTAGATGTTCAGACCACCTCTGTCCTTCAGGTAAAAGTCATGTTGCGCATCTGGCCCTCTCAGCGCGCCCAGCGCTCGGCCGAGTCCATGTCCTTCCTGAAGGTGGACCAGAGGAAGAAGCAGGTGACCCTCTATGACCCGGCTGCGGGCCCTCCTGGCAGTGCTGGCCCCCGGCGCGCAGCCACCACTGTGGTGCCCAGACTGTTTGCCTTCGATGCTGTCTTTCCTCAGGACTCGGAGCAGGTAGCATGATGGTGGTTGACAGCAGGTGGCTGGCCAGTGGGCTCTGTGAGAGGCCTGTGTGTGTGTCTGTCAGGACAGAGACAGAGTGTGAAGGTTCCTGTAGCCATACTTAGTGTGTGTCTGTAGCAGGTGGAAAGCCACTATCCCTGCCCCACAGTGACCATCTGCAGGCCCAGGGTCCCACCTTGGGGTTCATGAGCAGCACCTGCTTTTCTCTGAGTCTGCTATCCTGGGACAAGTTCGTGTGTGTGTGCGTGAGTGCATGCTAGTGCATCTCCCCGTGTGGTGTGTGTGTGTGTGTGTGTGTGTGTGTGTGTGCTGGCTGAGTGCGGCTGAGGGTGTCTGTGTCTCCACACTCTTGTGGACGATGTGCATCCGTGATGAGTGTGTGCATCTCCGTGTGTTGGGAGGTGGGTTCCGTGTGCATCCGTGATGAGTGTGTGTATGTCTCTGTGTGTTGGAGTGCAGGTTCTGTGTGTATCCGTGGTGAGTGTGTGCATCTCCTTGTGTTGGGAGGTGGGTTCTGTGTGCATCCGTGCTGAGTGTGTGTATGTCTTCGTGTGTTGGAGTGCAGGTTCTGTGTGTATCTGTGGTGAGTGTGTGCATCTCCGTGTGTTGGGAGGTGGGTTCCGTGTGCCTCAGTGCTGGGTTGTGCTCTGTGTATCGTGTGACATGATCTGCGTGCACAAATGCTGGTTGATTCTCTCTGAGGATCAGGTGTCAGGTGTGTGCTATGCCATGCATGTCTTGTGTGTCCTGCATAACTGCAAACAGGGTCACACCTGTCTGCATGGCTGTACCCTGCCCCACACATGTCCTTTATGAGTGCTCTCTGTGCATGTCCTCTTGGCCCTTGGTCTCGTGGGTGCCAGCCCTGTGCCCCGTGAGCTGACTGCCATGTGACAGGGACAGTCAGGCCACAGCCCAGCCCACTGCCCTCTCCACCTCCAGGCAGAAGTCTGCTCGGGAACCGTGGCTGACGTGCTGCAGGCTGTGGTCAGCGGAGCCGACGGCTGCATTTTCTCCTTTGGCCACACGAGCCTTGGTACGTGCCCACTCTCAGTGCCACTGTGAACTCTACGTGGCATCCTTCCTTTGTTCCCTGTGGTGCATGAGGCCCATGGAGATTCCCTCCCTAGGGGTGGGTGGGGGACTCTGGATAGGAAGTCAGAGGCCTGCAGGCTTAGATTGTGTGTGGCCCTCAGGCAAGTCGTACACCATGATCGGCAAGGACAGCTCCCCGCAGAGCCTGGGCGTGGTACCCTGTGCCATCTCCTGGCTCTTCAAGCTCATCCAGGAACGCAGGGAGCGCACGGGCACCCGCTTCTCTGTGCGCGTCTCGGCTGTGGAGGTTTGTGGGCGAGACCAGAATCTGCGTGACCTGCTGGCCGACCTGGCCTCTGACAGTCCTCAAGACACGCAGTCCCCTGGCGTGTACCTGCAGGAGGATTCCGTCTGTGGGGCACAGGTACACCAGGTCTGGCTGCCACAGGGCTGCGTATGTGGATCTCGAGATGGAGGAGGGAGGGTCATGCGGGGCCACTGAGGGGCTGCACCCGCTCCCATCGCAGCTGCAGAACCAGAGCGAGCTGCGGGCACCCACGGCTGAAAGGGCGGCTTTCTACCTGGACGCTGCCCTGGCTGCACGCAGCTCTAGCCGGCCGGGCTGCAGTGAGGACGTCCGACGCAGTTCACACCTGCTCTTCACGCTGCACCTCTACCAGTACAGCATGCTCAAATGCGGCCGCGGTGGAAGTAGGTGCTGCAGGGCGCAGAGCTCGTGTGTACAGCTGAGTGCACGGTGTGTGCGCGTGGTGTGTGCACATGTGGTGTGTCTGCACCGTGTGTGCGCGCACGTGTGTGTGGTGTGTACACCGTGTGTGCACGTGCATTGAGTGCACACGCATGAGTGTGCATGCATTGTGTGCAGGGACGAGCGTGAGCAGTGTGTGTGCAGGAATGGGTGCTTGCTGCGTGTGCACTGTGTGTCCAGGAAAACATGCAGAGATGAGTGTGTGCATCATGTGTGCATTGTGTTTGTACAGTGTGCGTGCACTGTGTGTGAAGGGATGAGTGTGTACATGGTGTGTGTGCACTATACGTCCAGGGATATGTGTGGTGACGACTGTATGTACTGAGTGGTGTGTCTGCATTGTGTGTGCAGAGACTGGTGTGTGCACTGTGTGTCCAGGGGTGTGTATGATGATGAGGATATGCATGGTGTGTGTGTGTGTGTGTGTGTGTGTGTGTGCGCACCGTGTGTCCAGGGGTGAGGATATGTATGGTGTGTGTGTAAAGGGACAAGTGTGTGTGTGTGTGTGTGCACCGTGTGTCCAGGGGTGTGTATGCCGAGGATGATATGCGTGGTGTGGTGTGTGCTGCAGGGACGAGTGTATGCACGGTGTATGTATTTGTGCAGTATGTGTACACACAGTGTGTGAGCGGTATGTGTGCATGTTGCATGTTCCCAGTATGTTGCACACGTGTGCATGCACCTTGTGTGTGTGGACTGCGTGACTGCATGTACATGTTGTGTGCACGCATGTGTCTGAAAGCAGGTTTGCTTTCCTTGTGCCTCTGCCCCCAAGATGTCCCTGTGGGTGGTGCCTGTCCCCCGGAGTGCCCCTGAGTCCTGGGCCCACAGTGGTGGTGCTGTGGGTCAGGCCCTAGTTACGGCCCTGCTCACCTGCCCTTCTGCCACAGTGTCGGGGGGCCGCAGCCGCCTGCACCTCATCGACCTGGGCAGCTGTGACCCAGTGGTGTCCAGTCGGAGCGGGGAAGCTGCTGGGGGCCCCCTGTGCCTGTCCTTGTCGGCCCTGGGCAGTGTCATCCTGGCTCTGGTCAACGGAGCTAAGCACGTGCCTTATAGGTGAGAGGGGTCAGTGCTGGGAGGCTGTGGAAGGGCGGGGCCTGGGGGCTGCTTAAGGGTGGGGCCTGGGGGCCTCTGAGGAGTGGGTATTGGGTGCTGCTGAAGAGTAGGTATTGGGGAGTCACTAGAGATGGGGTCTCAAACCCCAAGGAATTGCTACTGAAATGGTTCAAATCCGAAAGTGAAGGGCCTCACCTTGCCCACTGAGCCCTATGTGAGCCCCTTTTTGCCCTAGGGACCATAGGTTGACCATGCTACTGCGTGAATCCTTGACCACCACCAACTGTCGGACAACCATGATTGCGCATGTCTCAGATGCGCCGGCTCACCATGCTGAGACACTCAGTACCGTGCAGCTGGCTGCCCGCATCCACCGCCTGCGCAGGAAGAAGGCCAAGGTGGGCGGGGCCTGTTAGAAAAGGTCAGGGTGGGCGGGGCCTGTTAGAAAAGGTCAGGATGGGCGGGGCCTGTTAGAAAAGGTCAGGGTGGGCGGG